CACATCCGCCACCAGGAACCAGTCAACAGACCACTGCTGTGGTGGGCACTGTGTCCACGTTTCTCAACGTGACACTTCCGTGTGTCCTTCCGCCCAAAAGTTCCAGTTCTAGAAAATGGTGAACATACAAGGGGATTCGCGGCAGTCTTGTTCACAAAAGCAAAACGTCACAGATCACTTAACGATCCGTCACCAGGTAGCACTTGTTGAAAAAGTAAAAAAAGGAAGAAAATAAAGGAAAGGAACGAATCTTTTATATCCTAAAGAAGAATGACCTCTGAGATGTGGCTTCACCTTCCTTTTTAAAACTGGGGTACGATTTACACTTGCTACAACCCACCGTCCTCCACTGCAGTTCTGAGCTCTGATAATTGCACACGGCCACGTATCCAGTGCTGCAGTGGTACTGCGGCTCCACGGCCCCCCAAACTCCCTGGTGCCAGGGGACATGTGCACACAGATTGTTCCGGAGGAAAAACAGAAGCGGGGGACACCAGCTGCCTCTGAGAGGGACCTGGGCTCTGGGCACACAGAGGGACGCACACCGTGCACCTGCTTAGGCCTTCTGTGAGGATGAATCTTGCAACTGTGCCACGTTTTCAAGAAGTTTAAACCCTATGACTCAAAACTCCTAAGACCCTTACCCGTTTGCTGCCTTCGTTAGGTGAAAAGGAGGGCGGGAGGGAGAGAGGTTCACATAAACACCCAGAACTCCAAGTCCTCAGGCACACCCCCACCGGAGCCCCGCGCGCGCGCACGCCCGCCCGCCCGCCCTCGAGCACGCGTGCATGTGAGGGCCGGGCTGCAGGCCCGGGCACTGACCTTGTAGACATGCCGCCAGTTCTTGCCATGGTCATTGAGCCGCTTCCAGATCATGCTCATGATCTCGGAGAAGGCGACAACGTTGTAGGTGAGGTCAGCGATCTCAGACATGAGGGAGCTGGATGGGCCCCAGGGGTCGTTGCTCGTGGCTTCTCGGACCTTGATCTCGGCCTCTGAGTAGTTGTGGACTATGTTCTTCATCTGGCGCCGCAGCGACGAGGTCGACATGGCGGCGGGTGATGGTGAGGGTGGTGGGCCCCCCGGGATGTGGCGAGACAGGGGCGACTGGAGGAAAAGACAGCAGCAGGGGCTGGGGGTCACCGCATCTGAGGAAGAAAGGCCCTTCAGAAACACAATTGGGACCTGGGGCTGTCCAGCCTGCAGCTCCGCCCTCGTGGCCCCCCACCCCCACCCCGGAGTCAAGGATGAGGTCCTAACCATAGCCTAGAAGGCTCTGGCCCTCGTTAACCCCCGTCTTAGTCACCCGGTCCGTCTTTCAGTTCCTCAAACATGCCCAGCTCCTTCCTGCTTGGGGGCCCTGCTCAGTGAGGCAGGGTGTGCAGTGATGGATCACAGACGGGACACCGCAGCTCGGTACTTCCGAGCCCGCTGCCCTGGGTGGGCCAGGAACTTCCACACCTGTTTTCTCCCCTGTAGAGTGGGGTTTTGTTCCCCAACCCAGGGGGCTAAGAACCCGGCGCGTGGGCAGTGCACTATAAACGTGGGTGGTGTCACGAGATGGTCATCCTGCTCTTCCTCAGCACCCAGGTCACTCCTCGTCACCCCCAGGGCTCTGCTTAAGCTTCCCAGATGTTACACACCCAAATGCCACAGTCATGGTTCCCTAGGGGCCCCATCAGTATTTTATACCCGTGGGTCTGATTCTGTGGCTGAGGCCAACCCAATAGCCCCACGGGGACAGAGACCACGTCTCTGGGGACAGCCGTCCCGGAAGAGCCATTCAATAAACAGCTAGGAAGAAGGGAAGGAGGGAGGGCTGGAGTGGAAGAGGCAGAATCTGTGGCAGAAACAAGGACACACAGGGAGACCACTAAAGGGAATGGAGCAAGAGGCAGGGAATGCCAGGGGGACAGGCGTACCAAGG